CCAGGCGGGTCTCGAACCCGCGGGCTCAGGCAATCCACTCACCTCAGCCTCCCAAAGGTGCGGGATTACAGGCTGAGCCACCGAGCCCGGCTCAACTCAGTTTTCTATACTTATTTGGCCACAACACCCCTCTCTGTTTAACCCTTGGTAATATCCTGCAAAACTGGCACTCAGTTGGTGACAGTCTACAAGGCAGCAGGTAGAGAGGGTCAATGGAGTGCCACTGTACTGTCCTGGCTGCTTCTCTCAATAAGTATGCCTTGGGGGATCCCAGGTATACCTTGAGAACAGACATGACTCTGCTGCCTACAGATGCAGTGTGCTGGAACAGGGAAAGCATCCCTGTGACTCTGGGCATCCATCCTGGCTTTGCTCCTCCCCAGCTGTGTGACCCTGGGGCATGTCTCTAATCCAATGAGTGGAGAAAAAAATATCCCTGTCCCTTATGCCTTAGACTTGGCAAATGGACCCAAAGAGATGATAGAAACTGAAATAATTCTATAAGTGGTAACGTGCTGGTCAAACATAATGGGAGTAATACCTCTTGTGGGGCTGTGAAGAAAAAGCAACTTGGGGGCCTAGGGGGCCTGCACAGAGGGACTGAAGTATGTGGGGATCTCAGACAACTGTCTCAGGTCCCCCAGGGCCAAGCCATGAGCCGTGTCTGGTTGCCTTGCTCTCCACCCATTATGCGAGTCATGACTGCATTTGGCTGCCCCAGCTTCCCTCAGCCCTGCCTCATTCTGAAGATGCTGTCCAGGAGTGAGGGGTTGCTCTAGCCTTACTCACATCTTCATTAGTTGTCAGATTGGAGGCGACGAGGTAAGTGTGAAACCCTGAGAGGCCCAGGATGGACCAGATGGAGAAGAAGCAGATCACCAACTCCAGCACGGTGAGGGCAGTCAAGGACCCACACGGGATGGATGGTGGAGCGCCTCCCCCCAGGCCATGTGCAGCCCTTCTCACCTATCCTTACATGGAACTGTTTCCCCAGAAAGCTAAGTTTTGGAAACTTCCTGTGGCCCAGACACCATTTCTCAGCAGGATCACTTCCCCGGTCTCCAGGAAGGGTCAGGAGCCCCACTCAACAGCAAGACAAGATCAGGGTGATGGACAGCAGAGAAACTGAGGATTCCAATCACAAAGAGCCCTCGGCATGATATGGTTCAGGGAGCTTGGTCTCTCAAGGGATACATTTTCTTCCAGGTCTATGAAGACAGGGACTATACCTCCTGAGAGTTCTAGGCCACCTCAGCCCCACAATGCCCCATTCAGGCATTGCCTGGGTATGAACAGAAGCAGTTGGTATATTGGATTCTAGAGGACAAATGTGTCTACACTATTTCCCTCAGTTTATAGGATGAGGCATGGGGACCGGTCCCTTTGGGGCCTTGGTTCCCATTGGGGTATCCACTAGCCAACAAAGGATATCTTGCTGGTGTCTCCTTCAGAGTGGAGAGGAAGTTGTTTTCCTGAGAGCCTGGGGAGGAAGAACAGGAGAGGACACAGCTCAGAGGGACAGTGACCATAGCCCCTTGACCAGGCTGAGCTTTCTGGCTAACTCCTCCCACTCCCCTCGCCCTCACCCCCCGACTCACGCAGTGTCAGGTGGGTGACCACACAGGCAAAGATGAAGGCCGTCAGGAATGAGAGGGAGAGAATAAATGCGTAGAAGAAGCGGTAGTTCCGTCTCCCCACACAGTTGCCCACCCAGGGGCAGTGATGGTCAAACCGTTCTGGACAAGGGCAAGGGGAAGAAGTTAGTATGGGTCTGGCCTGCAGCCAGCACAGGTGTTCAGCAGCGGCCTCACCCTATGGCTGGGGCTTTCCCACCCTCTTCACTCCCTCTGCACCAGCTGGTTCCCAGGCCCTTGGACACACCCTGCTTCTGATCCTTTGTGCACTGGTTTCCACTGCTTGGCACATTCTTCCTTGTCTCCTTACCTGGTTAATAGTAACTCCTTCTTCATTCCTCAGCTGCAAAACCACTTCCTTAAGAAAGTCTCCTTCAAACCCAGACTAGAGGAGGTTCCATTATCTATCCTGTCACTTCTCTTTTGCAGCACTTTGCCCATGCGTGTTTACATATTTATTTGTAATTACTGGATTAGCCAATCACCCCTGCTTGATTGTAAGCTCTGTGAGGGGGAATCTGTGTTGACTTCACACTGTGCTGAATCCCCAGAATCTAGAGCAGTGTCTGGTACAAAGAACTACAAAAAGTACTTGTTGCCTGATCTAGGACTTCAGACACATGCCAACAGCCAATGACACCTGTCCCTTGCTCTAGGACTAGTGGCCCAGGGAGGGGCTGCCGCCACTATGTAACTCATGGTTAGCCAGCATCAGAGGCCAGGTCAGCTCACACTTGCACTATGTCACTAGGGTTGGGGCCACACCCAGACTAGTGAGGAAAGTCCCTGTGGGAATGTGGGTCACAAGCCCGTTGCAGGCCTCATGCCAACGCTGGCACCCTTTCCAGGGGTAGCTCAGGTAGATCCTCAGGGATGAATAATATCCCTGAGTCACCCACATCACTGCCTGCTGTCATAGGGTGTTCCATGCTGTTCTCTTGCTCAAGGAGTGCTGACCTAGCATGATGAGCTCACTGCCCTGGGAACTGTGCATAGTCACTATGGCTCAGCTCACCTGTGTCATCTCACACAGAGTTTCCCTTACAACACCCTCCCAGGGAGCCACCCTTGGTCCACATCAGAACTGCATGGCCTCTAGAAAGCAGGGAGCAGGGAGAGGGAACAAAACAATCACTGCAGTTGTGGGGTCAGGAGCCTAGCTTCCAGTTCTGTTTACATCCTATGTACCTCACCAGCTTACGCTCATTTGTTCCCAGATGCTTGTCCCTCCTGAACCCCTGGATCAGATGGAAGAAGTTCAGTGTAGCTGGCTCTGGGCCACTGGATAGTAAATCATTCTTTCTGGTCCAAACACATCTGGAATGTTATTGCTTCAGTCTCTGGTTCCTAGGAACTTGAATCTACTGAGGACTAGGCCCAAGCCTAGCAGAAGAGTTTGAGGCCTCTCTGTCTACCCCACACTTTGTAGCTGTGGAGAAGTAATCTACCAATCCTGGGTTGAAACCAAACACTACTGGTCATACTTAGAGCCCCTCCCCCTGAGTCCTCATCAGTCAGGGCACATCTGAGTGAACCAGACTTCCTGCCCAGCCCAGGGAATTTCAGATGCTGCCCACCCCACCCCACCCCATGTATAACTCCCTCTCCCCAGGACTCAATTTCACTCAGAAATCCCTCCCTGCTGCCTCCTACTCACCCACACAGTTGTCGCACACACTGCAGTGTGAGGTCCGGGGTGGCCGAAACATCTTGCAGGTGAAGCAGTACTTCAGCTTCACCATCTGCCCATTGATCATCACCTCCCGGGTCCGAGGGGGTGGCCGGTATGTAGAACTGCCTGTGTTGTCTGAGGGTAGGAGGAGAGAAATCATGAGGAATGCCCAAGACAGCCTAGGGACCGGAGCCCTAGCTAGGGAGAAGCTACCACTGCCTGGCAGGACAGGAGAAGCCTCAGGAAAATCATTTCTCAGAAACAAATGTTGGGGTAAAATGTCTGGCCTAATATTTGACAGGGACAAATATTAGGAGGAGCTACCATGTACTGAGATTTCCTCTGCCAAGCACTGTGCTAAACTTTACATACCTGCACACTTGCCTGATGGCTTTACACACTCTAAGGGCTATCAGAGAAGGAGACTCCAGAAAGACTTAGGTTTATCTGCACCTAATCAAGCCCAGATCTAGGTTCCAGTTGACAGGAGGTTCAGGAGATGAAGAAACAAAGTATGTAACACTATGAAGAAACAGTCTGATCTATAACAAAAACCAATGTCACTTATAAAAAGAGATGGGAAGCTGGCCATGGTGGCTCACACCTGTAATCACAGCACTTTGGGAAGCCAAGGCGAGAGGACTGCCTGAGCCCAGGGGCTTGAGATCAGCCTGGGAAACTTGGCAAGACCTAGTCTCTACAATAAGTCAAAAAATTAGCCAGACATGGTGGTGTATACCTGTAGTTCCAGCTACTTGGAAGGCTAAGGAAGAAGGATCACCCGAGCCCAGTAGATTGAAGCTGCAGTAGCTGTGAGCATGTCACTGCACTTCAGCCTGGGTGACAAAATGAAACTCTGACTCAAAAAACAAAAATTAACCAGAGTAGAGATGGTTCTAAATTAAAAGAGCTTTAGGAGACAAATACAAATGCAATACACGATCCTTTATTTTTTTTTTGAGTTGGAGTCTCACTCTGTCACCCAGACTGGAGTGCAGCGGCCACTCCCGGCCACCCCAGCCCCGACC